AATGAGTGAAGAATATTATAGTTAACATTTTACTAATTTATGATTATGAAATACAGCCTGAAACACTGGTGTCTTTTTCTGCGCAAAAAGTAAAACCTTCCAAACACGGCTCACTATAAAACAAAAATTTTTCAAATTCGTACTTATTTATTATTTAGATCAAAGAAAAGCAGCTATTGGTTAAATTTTTGAATTTGAATGAAAGAAAAATTTCAAGCTATTTTTTTTTAGACTTTATATTTTAGTACGAACATAATTTCGATAATCTAACAGATTTTTTTAAGTAACTATAGTAATTATTAACTTTAGTTACTATATATAAAGTTTTTTAGTTCAAAATTTCATGTATTTATTCTATTTATTCCATGAACTGAGTAATTACTTCATTTTGTAAACAAGCATTGTTAAGTATTTGGCATGCTTCTGTCTTCTGCGAATCGATGGAAATCAGTGCCAATGACATCACATTTCGCAATGAATTTCCCCATTTTTTAATTCATAGTTTATCAACAACGAAGTTTATTGTGCACGAAGTTTATTTTGTTCATCTTCGTTTGGAATATATTTATTCTTGGAAAGGTATGCAAATGTTTATCATTAGTAGGTTAAAAAAATAAGCACAGGTTCAGGTTTGCTTAACGCAAATATGAGTTATTTTAATTAATTTAACCGTAACCGAATGAATCGAGAATACAAATTGGAAATTTTTTTTAAATGCAAATCTATGCAAGGTAAAGTAACAATTCTTTTTAATATTTCTTATTCGAGGGAAGGGGTTTTGGACGAATTTCGAAATTTTTATAAATGCAGGCATTGTTTTTTAAATTTTTTGTACTGTTGTGTCTTTAAAAAATATACAAGAGAATGCAAATCTTCAATGAGTCATTTCAAATTTAATTAAAAACTAAAAAAACTAAAAAAAAAAAAAAAGGCTTGATATTTAACAGAAAATTGAAAGTTCCGTGCTTTCAATATTAAAATGTTTTGATTTATTTTGAATAAAAATACTTTAAATTTGCTTTAAGATGCTTAAAAGTTTTTTTTCTTAAAGTATATAATTTAAATTACATATTTTTCCTTTTTATTATTTCTTTTTTAACTATTTATGAAATTTAAATTTTTCTTGCAAATTTCCCGATGACAAATTTAAATAATATAACTGAAATATTTAAATTCAAATTGCATGCTTTGAAAAATATTGTTTGAAGTTTTAAAAAGCATGAAATAATTATTATGGAGAAAAAAAGCCTTCTAAGTTTCAGCATCCTCTGAAGTTCAGTATAGAGAAAAAGCGAAACTAATTGTCACTTAGCGTTTTAAATGAGATAAAGCGGAATTTTTTTTTCAAATTTGAAAGCTAATAAACAATATTAATCTTTTAGTAATAAGAAAAGCTCAGGATTCATAAGAATTTTGTGTTTCAGATCGGGGATAAATCGAGGATATTTTAATTCACGATGCAAATATCTATTAATAAAATAAAAACAGATTCTCGAAACTTTCATCTGCTATAAATTACTTTTTGATCTTTTTTTCTCTGTTTTATTTTTGAATCGATTTTATATTTGGAAAATATTAAATGGCAGTCATTTTATATGTAAAACAGATTAACATCTATCTGAAATACATAAAATTAAAAATAATTTTATTTATTTATTTTTTCTAAAGCTAACGTTTCAGTTATATATTTTTATGATTTTTATGATTACCATAACTGTACAACTTTTGTTCAAAGCAAAATAAAAGCAAAAATAATTAATGATAAGCAATTTACTCATGTCATGACTCGGAGATTCCAAAATTAAAAACTAACATTACGAATTCTTACTTTAGGTCTTTTAAGTGATAATTTTTAAGTGATTAAGTGATTACTTTTTAAGTGATAATTTTACATTTAAAAATGAAATGAATATTCAATAAATTTCAAAGATACACCACTATTAGGTGTTACGTAAGGCAAATTTTTTTAATGATCACGAAAACTTATTTTGAAATTCTCATCATTTTTTTTTACGCTCCATATGATATAATATAATACAATCGGCTTATAATTATGAAAAGAAATATATTGCAGTACATATTCCCTTCATTTATAACATAATGTATGTAAAAAGACGCCATAGAAACATAACTATAAATTGATGTTTTATAGAAATTAAGATTGTTGGAAACTTTAAAAAAATTATTTTGCAATATTTATTTGGGACTCTTGGATAAATAGGTTAAATGCGTTTCTCAGCTGAATTTAATAACTGTTAATGTGTTATCGTATGAGTTAAGTTAATCATTATTATGCTCGATTTATTTATTTTTCTTAGTAACGACGCATTATTATTTATTTAGTTTAAGAAAATGCATTATTAACAAAAACTATTTGAAATGCTTTGGAAGTTCGGGATAAAATAATCAAAATACAATATTAGTTGAGAAAGATTGCAATTTAAAATAATAACATATTAACGATGCTTTCAATGTGATAAATACCACATACATATCATGTAAATCTGTTTAAGAATTATTTAAACAATTCTCATAAAATAGTTTTAAAAAAAAGAAAAAAGAAACAGCCATTTCGAAATTGTTAACAGTGTATATTCGCTCCTATTAGGCTTTATTTCCTTATGAAATTTAAATAGAGTAAGGAATTATCATAACTCAATTATTTGCATAATATTTTTAAAAAAAGATGTTGACAATCTCAAGTATTTCTTCCAACGATCGTTTTCAACACTTTTGATCTAAGTTTGTATTCGGCCTAAATTTTAATATATTTACATGGTTCTTTTTAAATTTTAAATTAAATGTAAAATAAATTCCCCAGAACACAATGCATATACGAAATACAATAATTATTCCACTTAGAATAGCTTTAAAATAAAAATTTTCTAGTCTTTTAAAAGAAAATCTTAAATTTGTTAGGAATTGAGCTGTAAAATTTTAAGAAAAAAACTGTTTCCTAAAATATTACATTCTCTGGGAAATAAGAAATGGTGAAACTAGTATCTTATAATCCGATAGTTAAAATCTTAATGCAATTTTATATTTCATAAAATATCAAATTCTCACGTTGGTATAAAAATATTTTAGATCTATTATCTTAGAAGTTAAGTTTTGAAATCTTACTACAATTATTATATTCCTTATAAAATCATTTTCTCCACTCTAGCATAAGAAAAATTTGTCATCTAAGTTGAACGTTGAAATTTTAATACAATTATATTTCGTAGAAAATTAAATCCTCTTCACTAGCACAAGAAACATCTTAAATTTGTCATCTTCTAAGTTGAGTGTTGAAATTTTAATACAATTATTATATTCCCTAAAAAACTAAATTCGCTACGCTAGCACAAGAGAATATCTTGAATTTTTTAAAAGATAAGCGTTGAAAATTTAAAAATATTTATTTATTTCCAAGAAAATTACATTTTCTGATAGAAATTTTAAATTTGCTACCTTCTAAGTTGAATGCTGTAACTTTAAAATGCTTAAACCATTAAGGGGAATATTGGACTTATAATTCGAGAGAGATTGTTTTTAACGGAGAATATTTTATTTTCTTCTCCCATTTGTTTCCAATGTATGTGAAAGAACTTCTCGAATGAATGAAGATGAGTAAAGGTATGTTACTTCCTACGTGTACTCGTTATCTAACCATCTTACAAAACACGTCTACTCACGTACACACACTTGATGACAACTTTCGTAGAATACTTTCGTTTATGAATTAGAATTCTGTCCATTCATGACGTCAAGTAAAGGAATCCCTGCCAATGAGAGCACTTCATCTTACGCGCCATTCTCATCTGCTCTTAGACGATACGTGATAATTCTCAGCATCCTTTTCCCCAGCCAATGAACGCTCCCTCGTACCTACTTGCGGTGAGTGACGTCAGACTTTCTCCTTTCGCTCAGGTGAGTTAGTTTTTCACCACTTGGCGCGTTTTTCGCTTTTCTGGGCGAAAGGAATTATTTTCGTTCGCATCAACAGGTGACAACTCAAAAAAAGATATATATTTTAATGAGTAAAATGTTTAGGAAATCGAATAATAGGTAGTATTTCTATCAGCCACACGCACTATTATACTTTGTATTAAAGTAAAAATACATAAATTTCTCTTCCCTTTTAAAATTAAATTGCACTAATAATAATAAGTAAATTTAAACTTATGATTTTGCTTGATTTTATTGTTTTAAGAGGACTAAATGTGATTTTTCTCGTTGTTAAAATCATAGACAATCGTGCTTTACATAATTTATTTTGGCCAGACACAAGTTACAAGATTCTGAATTGCTTTCTTGTTTTGTTATCAGACATAGTTTCGAACATCGTTGAGCTGTGTTACTTTTTCTTATAATTATACAATATATTTTATTTTCATTAAATTTTGGTGCATCATACCTTCTTTTGTGCCATTAAATTGTCAATTCAATTAATAAATCGAAGCAATTGCATTCTCTATGAAAATTAATATTGATTCTTTACATTAGCAATAATAAAAAAATGAGATTTCAAATTTTTTTTTATGTATTGCGAACGCAAATCTACAAATATTTCATCTAGTTGTCTCTATGGTTTCTGAGTAATTTAAATTCTTCGACATCTATCTATAATTGGAGGCCGAAACATTTTATAAAAATTATATCGTACTTATTAGATTTCTATACAATAAGTATACACTTAATCATTTTTTACCTCTAAAATTTTACTGAACACTGAGTAAAATTTTAAGGGAAAAATATTTATAAGGAAAAATTTTGTTCTAATATTTATTATTTTACCTATAAATTACTTCATTTGATCTATTTTATTTGATACTTTGAGTGCAACGAGAATCCCTATCTGTTGCATGTGTTTTAATGGATCGATAACCGCACTTGGCGAGGAAAGGAACTCCCGCGGAAACTCCGAAAGTTGCGCACTTGGCAACCCTTCTCCTGAAAACCCACGTGTTTCTGTCCTCTCCCGAATCCGGAATATGAAAGTAAAAGTAAAAACAAACGATTCTAAGTGAGAATCCGCAAGCAGACATTGCCCCTCCCACCACCATCCCCCGCCGTTAACGGTATTTATAGTCATTGACTATAAAAACGGATAATTCTTAGCATGTCCGAACATTCTAAAAGAACGAGCTACCCAGTATTTTTCTTTTTTAATACTTGTGGTGGTGGAATCACTATTCTGACGGGTCCGTAGATGCAAAAGAAGAATTGTGACCTCGCCTTTGGATTCGGGCAACCATGTCGCGACTTACGGTAGTTTCTCATTTGAGTTTTAGTCCACTTCCATGCGTAGCCGGTCGTGCAACGTCGCGCTGATACGGCGCAGGTGGGATAGAATCGGAGTGCCGCACATCGGACCGGCCCAGCAAACGATTTTTTTTGGAACATTTTAATGCCAAGATGTACTTAGCGGATTGTACTTTAAATTAGTTCATATATATTTAAATAGTATTCTTTTGTTTATTGTTAACAAAAGAAAACGTGAAAAGAAAAACATACAAACTTGCCTCAATTTTAGTGAAACTAATGAATGAATTGAAATACTTCGTGCAAACTTATTCCCTGCCATGCCCTCTTGTGTTGTCTAAAAGCGCCTTCAGAAGAATTATTTCCTTTTTTCCAGAACTCTTTCTTGGAATTCTAGGGGTTTTCGTCTGCTTCCTCCGAGCCAGGACTTTAATTCTTCTAATTCTCATGATGTCAGCTTCTGGAGAAGCTAGGCCGTTAGGTAACGTCGAGTCTACACTGCCTCCCGCGAAAGCTCGTAGCTTGCAGAGCATCATCGATGAAATCTTATCGACAACAAATTCGTCGGACATATCGATGCATCACGATATTTATCGACGATCTCTGGAGAGGTGGTCGAATCCTTGTGAATTGCCGGGATTCATATTTGATGACTCTTATATGGAGGGTGTGCCGCACGCTGACCCCGTCGAAACGGCTACTAGGATTCTACAAGCGACGAGGTCGGCACGGGGGCCTGCTCAAAAACTCCTCTACGATTATGTAAGTACATTTCGATAAATGGTTTAACATGTTTATGTGTATGTTATTTTATTTTAATTGTAGAAAATCGACATGTTAAGTGAGATTTTGATTAATTCTCGAAATTCTAGGTTTCAGATATAACAATTATAAAACAATATTTCGAATAAATAATAATAAAAATATTCCTAATAATATTGAAGGATGTATACTTAAATCTAATTGAACTGTAGTTAATAAATTGTGATTCTTTAATCAAAGAAAATAGATGAAAAGCCTTGTTTAAGAGAAGAGTTCTATTTATTTATATTTTGAAATATATTTTACAGCATCAATCAGTTCCCATTTATAATAAGCAGGTTCTGAATATCGCAATAATTTAATTTAAAAAAAAAAAAAGACTTTCTAAATCGTTTTCATTTCTGACTTACTTTAAATCGTTTGCGTCCTGCAAAATGTGCCCTTGATTTTGTCAATCATTCTTTAGGCTGTTCCATGACAGTAACTAAAGAACATTAATTTCAAAGGAAAAATATGATTTGGTAAATAGCTTCCTAACCTTTCTACGCATTCTATAGCGCATTCTTATTATTGTTATTATTCTTTTTTAAATTGACTCAAATATTGCTGAACATGTTCCTCTAGACTCAACAATTATTATTTATTTTATTAAATGGTAGGAATAGAGTTAGGTATAAATGTTTACTAATATAACGACTGTACAATGTCAGAATAATATTTTATTTTAGTCTATTATATTTATTTTTGTATTCTATTTTTGTAATTTTATTGATTATAAGGAAACTTTATTTCATTGTTAAATTTGTGGGTTAGTAATTTTATAAGATTGATAAGAATGCGATAGATATCAACATAATAACAAACTGACGAATTTTAAAATTTTATTGCTAGCGTTTTAATTTTTTTTTAATGGTTGAAAGTCTCTGAAATTTTAAATATTGAATATTACTTAACATTCTTTTCATGCTCTTCGAAATTCTTCATTTAGTATATAAATTCCTTATAATCGTTTGCATCCATTTAAAATAAAAACAGACTTAAAGAATGCTCAAAGTTAAACAAAAATGACAATAAAATTTTCAAAAAAACATTTTTTCTCAATAATTTAATAAAAATTAATTTTTTTGTGATATAATTTGCTATTTATTGTGATTGTTCTGTAATAATCACTAAAGAAAAAGAAATAATTTGAAAAAAAAGAACGCTGAAACCTATTATTTTGATTATATAACGCAGCCAAAAAGCTAGAAAAAAGAGAGGGGAAAAAAAAAAAAACCTTTGACGAACTAAATTTCGTTTGAAATGCTTTGTATATTTACAAACAGACAGGAACTTAACTATGAAGTACTGAGAAAAAACCAGGAAATAAAATCATATTTCGACAAATTTGGTAAACACGACTATAATAAACCGAATGATAAACAGTGGCGTATTTTTTTCTTTCTTTGGCGATAATAGAACCTAACTGACGTTTTCTTCTAAGAACATTTATACAATGCGAGAAATTATTTTTTGTCTGGTATGTAGATGGCAGATACTCCTTTAAAGAATAATTTCCTTTTTTTTCGTGCAGAAAAATCACATTTAGATTATACCTGTATACAATTTAAATAATTACATTATTAATTGTAATAAGAGCTTTATATATTTTTAGACAGTATATGTTCCAATAAAAAATCTAATATAGTTTAAGAGATTTTCTGAGGATTTTTTTTTTCATGAGAAAGTTTTTTGTAAGAATGTTGTCTATCTTATCTATAAACGGTTGATATCACCTTTAAGATACCTTTATTTTTTGTAATTTTTTATTATTGATTTTTACTTTTTTATGAAAGAAATTGATATCGTTGCTCTCAGCTGAAAGATAACATTTTCGTAATTGTACCTTTTAGAAATAGTGTTTAAAAATTGAAATAGTTTTTTTTTTCTGTGTTAAATTAAACTAAATTACGTTACTAAGTTTTAAGTCCTTTGACTTTAATAATAAGTTGCTTAAGCTTCTGTCGTAACAGATATGATGCAATATGATTTTTTCATTCTATGAATGAAATTAAAAATTATGTGCCTAATATTTCTTCGTACATCCTCTTCTCTCTTATTTAATTCAACTTTTAAGTTTCAATACAATCAGAAAATTTACACCTCGATTTATACAATTAAAATTCTTATTTTTTCTTTCGTTAAAATGTTCTTAATTTATGTCTCTTAGTTATACGCGTATAGTAAAGGAAAAGCGAAAGTATAATATATAAATTATTTCCCTGTATTTAATCGATACTATCAATTCTCCAACCAATAAAAAAATATCGGTCTCACTGATTATAAGGGTTTTTCCATTTGATACTTTCCTTTTAAAATGAAGATTACGCGAAGATATCACAAAAGAAAAGGTCTGAAGATTTATTATTTAGTGTATGCAAACAGAAAAAAGTGTTCTAACCTATTTCATATCACAAAAGTAGCTATTTTCCAGTATAACTTCTTTTTTTCTTCTTCAATTCATTTATTTTTTACGTTTTGAAACTCATCATTAATATATAAATGTGTGGTAAAATTGAAGTTGCTATCATATTAGCATTTTACATTAATAAATTGGCGAAGATAATTTATCATTTCGCAATGGAATCAATGACGTAAATTTTACTAAAAAAAGGAAGCAAATCTAACTATGTACAATTCATATTTCAGCTGATTTTTCACAAAAAAAATTTATCAGTAAATAAATGAATTTAAAATCGTGAAAATATAATTTATTTTTAAAGACATAATTTTATATATGATAATCTAACACCATGAGGAAAACTGTAAATAAATATATGCAATTAAAACATCCACCGACTTTTTAATTTTTATAAAATTTTTTATTTCATTTACTTGAAAGTTTAAAAAAACAAACAACGAAGCATTCATATTTCGAAATTGAATAAAGGACATATTTTTAATAATACTAAAAAAGAAAAAACTAAGATAGTAAAATATAAATAAAGATGCATAATTAAAACATTCTTCGGTTTAATTTTTTAAAACTATAACTTTAATTATGCATTATTTCAGAGACAAACGAGGAAATATAACCTTAAAAAAAACTCGCGATTTCCTTTTTCAATGTATTGCTTAACGTTTTTCATTTTTTTAAAACATCTTTCAATGGTCATTATCGTAATTTTAGGTTAGAAAAAGAGATCATCATTATAATATATATATTTTTTCCCTGAAAATGAAAGCCTCTGTAAGTTGACTGAAAAAGAAGATGGAAAGATGAAATAAATAGATATGAGAGGCATAGTCATAGGAGGTGACTTAATTCCTCCTTCACTTGAGTCGAATAATGATTAACCACAGCGGGTGGAAACTACCCAGAACTTAGTTTATGAGACTCGATGCTGCGGTAGTCTTGATTAAAATTACTTTTGGTTCAGCTATTTTATTAGGATTTTATTGATTTACTTTTGTTCATCGCACAGGAGGCTGTCTCGTCCTGGTACAAAAATGTATTTTTGGGATAAGTAATGTTTCGTTTTCTATTGTATCGTTAATTTGGAATAATTAGAGTTAATTGGTAATGCTCGATTAAGTTGGATAATCGCTAATTGGAGGAAATCAATGATTATAAAAATGTTTTTTACTCCAGTTTGTTTTTTGAAAATTGGCAACAGTACATAAAATGTTATATTTATTGCTAGTACAACGACAATTACAGATTCCCCAATAGAAAAAGATGTTTTCAATTGTTTTACTTTTAAATGCTAAACGTTAATGTAGGATTTAAAATATTTTTAAGGGTGATATCAACTGTGAATTGTATTTTTATATTTTAATTGTGGATCGTTATTAATTTAATTTTTTCTTTTTTTGTGGATGTATTTGACATTTAATTCATTTATGCCAAATTTTCTTCGAATTTTTTTATTTTAAATAATAAACTTTAATTATGAAATAAACGTGGTAAATATATCAGAAAAAAATTAAAACAGGCTTTTTTTTTTAAAAAAAAAATATACTAACTTTTTCTATTCAAAAGAAAACTATTGGATATTGTAAACAAAATACTGAACACCATATTTTTTATCAAGAATAAACTAAGATGTAATTTTTAAGTTTCCATATCAAGTATTTTGACCAACATACTTTTTAACCGCAAGATGCTAATAATTCTTAATGTGTTATTAAACGTATTCCCTAAACCAATTCCCTTTTCTTAAACGTATTTATATGAAGTGAAAATATTTCATGTGTATTAATTTATGGAAATAGATAATTTCGCAAACTTTCTTGGTTACACAATTGTTACAGGATGGTTTATAGCCATTAATATATTTTTATTTTTTCTAAATGATTATTATTTTTCAAAGAATGCAATGTTTGAGCGATAGCTCTTTGATTTTTTAATAAACAGCTTTATTTCAAATTTGAAATAGAAAGTTTAATGCCCATGTTATATTGAAATGCGTGTTTCAAATTTATAACATTTAATAAGTGTTTATTTATAGGTTTAAATTTAATGAAAAGTTTTCTTATAGTTAGCTTTTTTTTCTTCAAATACATGCAATTTTTAAATTTTTTTGGAAACTTCAAAACTAAAAGTCACATAGTTTTATTTATAATCGACTGAGTTCAATTCTTTATTCGATTACAAACTAGTTATTATGTAAATCTGAGTAAGATTTACTGTATTTTATAAATTAGTTTATAAACAGTTATAGCAGAGTATAATAAGATGAATTAGAATGTAAATAATTTATTTGCTTTGATATTTGTCACTTTTATTATCGCAATTCTTTTAACTTTGATAGTGTATAGTTGTACTGAACTATGATTTAAAACCGCGAAATAAATTACTATTTCCTAAGCGTCAAGTATAAAGGTAGCATATCAGGCGTGTACTCAGAAAAAAAAAATAGAAGAGTTATTCCAAAAATGTGAGCCAGTTGATATTAAAATGCCAATGACTCAGACTTACAATGATCGATTGGCGGATTTTGCTTTTTGATTTCAATGGC